GCAACCTCCTGGACCCACTCCCTCCAAGCCTGGGCACTGCTTGCTCTTCTCAGAGCCCCTGCCTCTGAGCTGGGCTCCCCAGCCTTCCCTGGGGTCACACCCTGCACTTCAGGGTTACCTGGGCCTGGCTCTGGGGGCCACCTGCCTGAAGGACACGCCCATGTCGCCTAGCTGGGTGTCTGCTGCCAGGTACTCTGCCCCACGGTGGGGGATGACCTGCCAGCCCAGCAGCTGGTCATGTCCGTTAAAACTAAATGCTCAGAGAAGTTGGAAGCATCGTCCCTGACTTGACTGCATGTTGGCTGGGGTGCTTGCAGGATGACAGCGAGGGGAGAAACCGTGGGGGCTTTGGGGCTGGGATTTTGCACTGAGCCGTTCCAGCCACACTTCACACCACCTCCCAGGTCTGTGCTCTGATCTATCCACTTCCCACCGCCCTCTGTCCTTCTTCCTTCTCTCTGGCTGGTCCTGCCGAGCCTCTCTGCAGCTCCCACAGTAAGTGAAAAACTGCTCCCCGTCCCCGCACAATTCACCCACCCCCTCGTCCTTGACCTGCCTTACCGCAGCCCTCCTGGACCCAGCCTGCCAGGCACACGAGGCAGGCAGCCTTGCCCGGTGACCGGGCCGGCCCACTCTACTGTGGATGTAAGTCTCTTCTGCGCCCCCTCTCCTTCCCCTCCCCATCCCATTTTCTCTGGCTGACATCACTTCACTCAGCTCCCAGATTTTTCCTCTCTAATCACTTTGGTCAAAACAAATGACCCATCTCCGCTGACCTCACCCTCTTTTGAAATTCTGCACTGAGTCAACACTGCCCTCCTGCCTTCAGACCCTTAAACGCTGCCTCTCTGCCCACACGCTGGGCTTCCTTTCTGAACCCTTTACCTCTGTGCCCACCTCTTCTAAGAGGACCTCCCTCATTAGATGCAAGGATGCACAGAGGGAAAAAAAATAACCCAGGTGCCAGACAGACGTGAAATGTACATTCGGTTCTAAGAAAGGGTCAATGACCATGAACAAGATGACCCTGTGGTCCCTCTGGGCGGGTGGAGGTCTGGTTCTCCCGTTGCAGTGGTTTTCAAGTCCAAGGGCTTTCAGTGGGCAGAGCCCCTGCTCCAGACAGAGCAGCTCCTCGTTTGTCTGGTTTGGATACCTGGCTTCCATCAAAGCTTTCATTTCAAGAGAGTGGCGGGGCCCAGCAGGCTTGAAAACCACTGGTCCTGAAGGGCTGGCCCACTCCTGGCTTCCTCCGCGGGTCCTGGTTCAAGGCCCTGGGCCCACGTCTGAAGCAGTCTCATCTCTGTGGTGGTCCTTCAGATATAGAAAGCCTGGGACGGGCCTCTGCCCCCACCCTCACTCTGCCTCGGGCCTTCTGCCCAAGCCAGGCACCTGTGACTCTTCCAGACGCTGCTCAGGCTCTGGCAGGACGGGCCAATGTCCTTCGGCCAGGGAGACCCAGCTCTGCTGGGGTCTGAGCCCTCACCCAGCTGAGGAACCGTGGTCCTATTCAGGGACCTTGGCCAGGCCCTGCTCCCTCGGCCTGTTGCCCAGCAGTATAAGGAGAGATGCGCTGTCAATGCCCCTAAGGCGTGTTCCACTTTAAACGTTTTGAGGTCCCAGAGGTTCCTGACAGAAGTTCCCTGCTCCCCACCTCTTGGGTTGGTGAGTCACTCAGCTTGAGTGTTCTCCAAGGATGCCACTGCTAAGCTGGGGACAGCAAGAGAGCTACACTATGGAAAGCCAACTGGGACTGACCCTCTGTCTTCTTTAGAAACTGGATCCAGAAATTGGCTCCCAAAGCCAATGCCTTTCTCCCTCCAAAGTTTTCTGTCTTTTTTTCCTTCTTTTCTATTTGTTACCAGACCAACGGTTCACGGCTTTAACAGAGCCTGGCTCCTGGCCTCAGGATTCCTGCTCTTCCATGGCGCCTTGGGGTGAGGTTCTGGAAATCTACAAGGCACCCCACTTCCACCCCGCAGAGTGCCTGCCCCTCCCGTGGCTTCTGGGCCTGGAGAGCCGCATCTGGACACGTCCCAAAGTTGCCAGGGGAGTCGGGAATGGGCCGATGTGGACAGGACTAGGGGCCAGGGAGGGGGCTGGACGCAAACCAGGGGACTGGCGGCCGGCCCTGAGGACCCCCCCCCGCCCCCGCGATGGCTGCACGGCCCGGGAGGGACCTCCCTGTCGTACCTGAGAGGAGGGCCTGGCCCGTGAACTGCCCGTACACGGAGGCAGCATGGGGAAAGGCATTGAAGGGCGGGACCGAGGCACCGGCTGGGACCCCGGGGCCGGAGCCGACTTGCTGCAGATCCAAAAAGGCGGAGCTAGATAAAGAGGAAGGGGTGGAGCTAGAACTGGACACCTCGGGGGTTTCCTGCTTTATGGCGAAGGGTGAATGAGGATCTGCCGGAGGGAGGGAGACAACAAGGAGAGAGGGGTGTGAGATGACGGGGTGGGAACATGCACAAACCAAGCCATGAGATGCGGGAG